AGTTGAACAAAATCTGGGTTCAAGGGTGACCTATACTGAATGATATTGAAATATAAGAAAATCCTTGTTATGGTGTAAAGCAAGGTTTGTCAACTTTGGCACTTCTGACATCTTTGGCTGGAAAATCCTTTGTTTTGAGAGGCTGTTCTGTGCATTATAGGATGTTTAGCAGCACCCCTGGCCTCTGTACAGTAGATCCAGAATCATCCCTACATGTCTTTGGATATTTTTAAGACAAATGTTCCAGGGAGGGGAGAAGGATGAAGTAATCCCCATCTGAGAATCAGTAGTTTAGAGGAAGTTACTAAAGGCTGGGGGAGATTGGAAGACAACAGTGAGGTTTTTTTTTTTTTTTTTTTTTTTAATGTAAAAGCAGCTCATCCATCCTTCAACTCTGACCCTCAGGAGGCTCCAGAGGACATTTTCTCCATGAAGACTGTGTGAAATACAGTCATGAGAGTTGTTCTAGTATCTCTGCAGAGCTCTGTAGATTATTCACTGTGGAACAGAAATGACAACTGCTGTCATGGATCCGGGCTTCCTGAATTCAATGTTGATGATAGGATTCTCAATGGCAAGGGTGATGTAGCAGCCTTAAATCTCCAAAGAAAATGTGGGCATCGTTACTAGAATGGGCAGCAAAGTTGAAGTAGTTATCAGGAGAGTCTGATCTGCAGAGATCTTTGGGATTTGCTAGTTTGATCACTGTGACCCTAGAACTGAAATAGATGGGTGGTCTACTATTTGATTTGGAGAAGTAGAAAATCAAACCTCACTTGAATCACTACAAGAAAGTGTCACAGCCCTATAACCATTTCTCAAACTTGAGTCAGTTCACAGACTCAAAGCCTCTTGAATAAAGAAAGGGGCTGCAGGTTCCCATATATACTTCCTCCTGGCCTTCCCCTAAGGGATCTGTGAAGAGTTAGCAGGGTGACCATGCAGTGCAGAAGGAGGAATCCAGACATTTTCAGGATTACTGGACATTGTTGCTGAAAAAATTCCTAGAGACCCCAAATAGCACTGTGGTCCACCAACCAGGAGAGGTTTATGCAGATCAGGTCATCAGTGAAGTCTTCGCCTAAGTCTCACAACTAGTGTGTCTATAATCCTATTCTGTGTTTATTTCCCTGGTTCTGGGATGCATAATCGGAACAGACACATTGAGCAACTAACTGGCAAAATCCCTACGCTGGTTCCCCAATCAGTGAAGTAAGGTCTATTATAGTAGGAAAGGCCAAGAAGCATTTCATGAAGTATAGTGAGTAAAGGAAAGGTACAATAAAAGCCTGATTTTCCCCTTTATCTTTTTTCAGAAAGAGCTGGTTCCATAGGATCTTCCGAAGGTGACCAAGGGCTTTTTTTTTTAATATCATTCTGAAGTCATGGATTTTTAGTATATTTGACATGTTTCAATTTACTGCAGATATTCTTTTTGATGTTCAAATTGTTCCCACATCAGCCAGAAGGGGCCTACTTAAGTTGGCTCCTGGGTCCTTCTGATATGACCCAAATAATCTTGATACCTTCCTCCCCTTTTGCTACATCAAAGTGTTTCTTTTCTTTCTCTCTTTTTTTTAATGTTAGTCACCATACAGTAGTTTTTGATGTAGTGTTCTATGATTCATTGTTTTCGTGTAATACCCAGTGCTCCATGCAATTCATGCCCTCCTTAATATCCATCACCAAGCTAAACCATCCCCCCATCCCCCTCCCCTCTAAAACCCTCAGTTTGTTTCCTGGAGTCCATAGTCTCTCATGGTTCGTCTCCCCCTGATATCCCCCCCTTCATTTTTCCCTTCCTTCTCCTAATGTCCTCCATGCTATTCCTTATGTTCCACAAATAGGTGAAACCATATGATAATTGACTTTCTCTGCTTGACTTATTTCACTTAGCATAATCTCCTCCAGTGCCATCCATGTTGATGCAAAAGTTGGGTATTCATCCCTTCTGATGGCTGAGTAATATTCCATTGTATATATGAACCACATCTTCTTTATCCATTCCTCTGTTGAAGGGCATCTCGGCTCTTTCCACAGTTTCTAGGCTCACATTACACTTTTCTATCCTAGATCTGTAATCAATCATTTCTCTAGAGTCCTGGTTTCTTTTAGGATACCTCATTGCAACTGAATACTGGTCACTGCCTCTTAGGTCCCTTAAGTGGACAGAGCCAGGAAATACATGTTTTTAAGAGTAAAACACATCATGAGTTCCCATAATATTCCCAATTTCAGTGTAGAAATACAAGTTTTATTTAATTTCCTTGAGTTTCTTCCCTTTTATTATAAAAATCTTGGTTCTTAAAGGCATTTCTATAATTACTCAATTCCTTTATCTTGTAATTATAAGTTTCAGAATAATAACACCAATATTATTTCTAATGATATAACTACTAAAAGCAGTTTATGGTTTTTTACATTTTCTTTTATCCTTAGGATTTATCTCACTAGGGATATACAGTCTAATTACTGTGTTTAATGTCACTTGAAATAATTTATTTGTGTAGTTAAGCCATCAGCTTCCTACACAATTAAGTTCATTTGTTTAATTTTACTTTCGATTTTTAGGTTTTTTAAAAATTTTGATTTAATTTAAAAGATAATTATATGAACATTTATATAGTTTTAAACTCAAGCCTATATATCTATAAGACAAGGTTCATTCAAAGAAGTCTAGCCTTCATCCTTTACTCCTTTCTCTCCTCATAGAGAACCATTTTAATTATTGTTTTGGTCACCTCTCTTATTTTTAAGAAGAGAATGTGCACATATGTATATGAACGTAGTGTATGTATAGCATGCTTGTATATATATGTGTACATACACACACACACACACGAACACTTTCCCCTCTTAAAGGGCAGAATACTATACATACTGTATAGAATCTACAGATGGTTGGGGGGGGTTGTTAACAAATTCATAACACTGAGTATTCTGATCAATCAACTTGACCTCTATTTACTTATGCCTTCTTTAATCTTCCTGCTATCATAGTTCTCATGTAGAAGTCTCATACATTGTTAGATTTATTCCTGAGCATCTGATGTTTTTTGATGCATTGTAAATTTTACTAAAGTTTTGTTTTGAAGTATTTGTTGCAGATATGTGGAAATACAATTGATTTTTGTATATTTGCCTATTATCTATTAATTATTTTGGACTTACTACATATACAGTCATGTTGTCTGTGAAGAATGACTGTTTTCTTCCTTCCTTTCTAGTTTGTATACCTTTTATTTCATTTTCTTGCCACAGTGCACTGATAAAGACTTCTGATACAAATATTAATAGAAGTGGTAATAATGAACTTCTTTGTTATCTTCCCCATTTTCAAAGGAAAATTACTAACATTTTTTTTGCCATTAAAAATAATGTTTGCTTTAGAATAGATACCTTGACAAAATTAAAGAAATTCTATTCCTCGTTTGCTAAGAGTTATTTTGAAATATAAGTGGATATCAAATTTTATCAAATGACAATTTTCTGTATCTATTGAGGAGATCTTATCATTTTTCTCTTTTAAAAAAGTTAATGTGTATATTAACCTATTTTCTAATGTTTTAATAATTTTACATTCCTGGGATAAGGCCAAATTGGTAATAATTATTTTTGTTAGTTCTTTAATGCTCTTAGTAGATGCTTTTTATAATTCATCTAATTTTTTTAGTTGTGGTAGAGGTTGCAATTACCTAGCTCACCATTAAACTGGAAGCAGAAATTCTCTTCTCTTAAATTCATTCTAAATACATTTTTATTCCAGCATTCTACCAAAACTGCTCTTATCATGGTTAAAAAAGACCATCAAAGGGTGCCAAACTAAAAGGTCCATTCTCTGTCTTCACTTTACTCAACCACTCAGTAGCATTTTATAAAACAATGGTTAAGAGCATACTGTCTTTACTGGTCATTTTGTTAGCTATGTGATTCTGAACAAGTTCCTTAACCTCCCTCAGCCTCAGTTTCTTTATCTGTAAAATGTAAATGATAGTGTTATCCACTTTGTAGTGTTGTTGTCAAGATTAATTAAGTGCATGTAAGTTGTTTAGAACAACAAACATGTGCTAGTAAGTAAATATCACCTATTATTTATTATTGCTTATACTCCTTCTGAAAAACAATTTTTTTTTTAACCATTCTATCATGATTCTTACTTCTCTGGATATTCCTTCTCAGTCTCTTGCAGTGGAATTTTCATCTCTCCAGACTTTAACTTTTGGAACTCAGTCCTTAGGTTTAATTTATCTAGACTTCCTTTCTACATGTTCTCATCCCATGACTTAAAAAATCACGTGTATGTTAATGACTCCCACATTTATAGCTCCTGCTGCAATCTCTTCCCTGAACTCCAAACTTACAGACTCCACTGACTAGCTGATACCCTAATTTAAATGTTTTCTAGGCAGCTCATATTTAACATGGCTCAAACTTTTTTTTAATGATCAAAATCTAATCCAAGTTACATTTTATATATCTATTATACAATACTTGCCTACCTTCTCCCTTCTACCCTTGCCCCTCTATTCTTCAAACTGCAATCAAACTTGAACATTTGTTGAACATTTAAGCCTGATCATATCACTTTGCTCAAAGCCTTCCACAGCATCCCATTGCATTCAGCCTAAAAGCTCAAGTACTTTCTGGGCAGGGGTCAGCAAACCTTTTCTCCAAGGGCCACAGAGCAAATACTTTAGGCTTTGCAAATCAATCAGATTCTGCTGCCCAACCACAAAACATTATTATGCTATGCTTATATGCAAAGAGTATTAAGATTCTAAACTGCTATGTCCAACAAAAGTCATATTTTGTGGAATATGCATAAAATTTACAAAAATACACAGTATGAGTTTTGGTTTATAATGCTTAGTATTTTTCACAGCAGTTCAATAATATTTGCTTAATAAAGACGTAAGATTTTTACAAGATTACGGCAAGGACCATTAAATGTTAAATAATTTATTCTGTAAAATGTATCAAACAATTGATAGTGGACTTACTTTAGATTACTGATTCTAACTTCTGCACTTTCAGTAAGTTTCTTTGTTTCTTCTTTCCACCTATTGGCCGCCTTCTGTTGAGTCACTAAGAGATGCCTCAGTTCAACAGTGGAATTTCGATTACTATCTTCCAGCTCTCTCAGTTGAACTTCAAATCCATGTTCCCTTATTGAAAATTCATGTTCCATTGTACTGATCTAAGGAATAAAATGAACACAGTATCTTCTTTTTCTTTTGTTATTATAGGAGATATACTGATCAATGATAATACACAAAAGAAATCATTCACTGTGTTGTTTGAGGCACAGAAATGTTTGGATGAGAAATCTATATAAAAATTAAGTTTATGTCTTCATCACAAATGAAGACTTAACCTAGATTAATTATATATTTATATGTAATTATATATATAAATTTATAGTACAATATAAATTTAGTGAAACAAGAATTATGATGGACTATGATTTTTTTGCAACACTTTCTTCAACACCTTAACTGCCAGTAGGAAAAAAGTAAACTATCCAGTATAAACTGCTCTTATTATCTACTTTAACTTCTGTTGCCAGAACCCATGGAAAATATTCATGCTGTCAGTAACTGAGAGTTTTTTCCTCAAGCCATTAAAAAAATTACAGAGCTTCTACAACCTCCCCAAGTGCACCGCCCTCTTGGCACCTTGATGTGTTCAACAACTCAAAATCTCAAGTCACTTCATACTAAATTTCAAATTATCTTTCAAAGGGTTTTGTAAAGAAAATCATATACAAGAAGTCCTTTACCACTTCAGTTATGATATAAATACTTTTTTTTTTCAGGAAAAAAAGACTAATGATTTTCAGAATCTCATATGGAAATATCTTCCATTATTTCTAGGTAATTTATGTCATTATAGTAAAAACACCCTAATGCAGAATAAACATGTAAGTAAATGCTCTTTGGATACTCTAGAAGCTTTCTTGACTGGGGATCAGGGAGGAAATGAAGCCCTAATGCTCTCTGGCATTCAGTGTATGTAATGAATTGCCTTCTCTTGCATGCATCTAGAATGAAACTACCTATTACCATCCTGGAGGCAACTGAGAAAATAGTCACTAGAACAAGTTCTTTGGTGTACTCTAGGGCCATCTTTATCTTACTAAAGAAATATTATAAAGAATATCTTGTATTTTAAAGTAATGTGCTTTAAAAATCATCACAGCTGGTATAGCTTCTAATAATTCATTAAATATGGCGACTTTCAAAATCAAAAAAGAATGAACCAGGGACTCAACTTTCTCAACACCAGGGAAAACCCAACAAGAGCAAAATCCATGGTTTGTGGGGTAAACTGCAAACACTGTTCTTACTACTTCTGCTTAAATGCAATGTGTTTCCTAAATTGCTTAAATTTTCTTTCTCAAATAGTACACAAGTAGAAATTTAAGACTTTCTAAATACTGGCCCTAAATACTGGGAAAACCACCATGGATTTATTAATTCTGTACTGTACTAAAGCCTCCTGACGCTCCCTGACTCCTGCTACTTTACTAATTTTTGTATTATTGGATTCTGTAAATTTAGATTTGAATATATTCCTTCTCCTTCTCTGCCTCAATCTCAACTTTGTCTGGAGAACCCATGGTTATGTTAGGCGGGATTGTGTGTTTCTGTCTTTGTCTTTCTCACATATATATGAAAAACTGATATATGCATCTATATAGTTTTAGACCTCAGCCTGCCTAGTTAGCTCCCCATTTCCTCTTGGAAAATCTATTTGTACTTTTGACAAGCCTTGTTCTGAGGTCCTTCATGGTAACCTGGTCTCTGCCTACTTCTACAAGCTTGTGTTAGGCCACTATTAACCTACTCTTTCTTTGTTTCTGTCACAATGCTGTCTCATTCTTGGCTCATTTTCACATGTTGTTCCCTGTGCCTGGAATAATCTTACCCCTCTTGCTTGTCTTAGTTATTTGTATTCAACTTTTAAAACTTAGCTCAATTATTGCTTCTATCTAGACAAAATCAGGTCCCTCTGTTATAAGCTCCTACAGGGCCCTAAGTTTTTCCTAAAGTGCATTTATTAGTTTGTAAATGTATGTTTAAAGTTTGCCCATTTCCATGCAAAAATTATGTTTTTAAGGAGGGGGCTGGGTCAGAGGGATCATGTCTTCATTATATCGTCAGCACCCGAAACATAGTAAAGTCATCAAAACACTGTGTAGACAGAGTGAATGATGGCTTTTTGGTATCAAAATTTAGTCTTTAAACACACCCCGGATCCTTTAGCTGATAAAATTCCAGTTGTTAAACTGGACAGGCCGGCAGTGATGTTGGAAGACTCTGGGCTACAACCAGGTCTCCTATAACAAAAATCCAACTGATGATTAAATTCAGTATATTGGTAGGAAGAAAGGATTTATGGTCTCCCTCCCTTTTTCCTTTGTGTTCTTCCTCTGCAGAGAACCACTCACACAAATAGATTGGAATGCTCAAACTATCCATTTCCTAATTTTATGTACTTATGAGGAGAATTTAGAAACAAAGAAATGGAGAGCCCTGGCAGAAAGAACAGAGAAGTTAGAAAAGGGGAAGGCTAGGGCTGAAAGGAATGCAGTGGCCTTAAGATCAAACGAAAGTTTCATATAATAAGTTGTAAGGTTCTCAGCCAACTGACCTCTCAATATCCAACTGTCTTGATCTTTTTGGCTCCTTTCAGTTTGTCTATGGAAGATCACACTCTTTCTCAAGGGGAAGAAAAGCAGCGAAGTGTAGCACTAGGTTCCTATGTTGGCAAAGAAGGAATCAGCTACAAAGCAGCAGTTATCTGACAGTGATTCTCCTTTATAAAATAGAATTTATAGCTATCTAGTTAGTTAAGAGGTTCTGCCCTTTATTTACCAATAATTCTTAAGCTAGATGCAGACTTGACAAAAAGGGAGCAGTTTTGGTGGGACACGTGGGATAGATAAGCTTTCGGTCATTCTTTTGTTCTCTAAAATATCAATTACTATCCTGAACTGTTAAAGATAGATAAAATGTAGTACCAGGTAAGGGAAAGTCATTGATTCGTCTCTTCCCCATTATAAAAACCAAAACCCCAGAACAGATGTATATTGTAAAATAATGGAAAATAAAAAAATTAAAAACAAATATAAGGTCTCTGTAATCCACAACTCAGAGATAACCACGTCTACTTCTACATAATAGTTTTTATTTATAAATTTTAGAATTTAGTGTATATAGAATTGCAATATATATATAAATATACATTCAGATGTTTTTCTTATTATTTTTAAACCTAGAATACAGCAATATAAAAGCATTATAAATTATTTGGAAACAATTTTTAATAATGACTCAAAGTATTGTATAGTTATACCATTTCATTGTTCCTTTATTTCTAGAGGTTGTCTCTAATTTGTTATTATGAATAATGCTGCAATGAATTTTTTAAATTATGAAATATTCTAATTATTTTCTTATGAACAAATTTTAGACTCTGTACCATTTTAAATGCTCAGGTGCACATTCACTCACACTGGTAACCATGCAGTTAATCAACAGTGAGTTTAAACTTTAAATATTGTTCATTAGCAATTGTTTCCTAAGTTTGTGAATTCTGTTCATGTCTCATACATGTTTTTCTTATAGGTTACAAATATTCTTCTTTAATATTTTTCAAAGCTCCTTATATGGTTTTTGTCTTTTGTTATATTTACTAAAATTATTTCCCCCAGTTATTTCTTTTCTAAACACTTAAAAAATGGTTCTAAATATTTAAAAACTTTATATATTTAAATCTATTAATATATTTATTTGCAATTTCTTCCTTTTTTTTGGTTTTGTTTTGTTAGGAAAGTTCTTTTTCATCTATCAGTTATACATTTGTCTACATTTCCTACTAATGTTTTATAGTTTCACTAGTAGCTTTAATTATTAATCCATATGAAATTTATAATATGAAACTTAAAATATAAGAGGAAGATATAACATTTTTTCACCAAAGTACACGGACTTATTACGGAAATGTTTTAGTATGAGAACTTTCAAGCATACACAAAACAGAATATTACAATGAATCCCTATATGCCTTTCACCCAGCTTCCATAAGCATCAAACTCAAAACTATTCTTGTTTTATCTACAATCCTACTGACCTTCCTTTGCCAAGATTTATCTTTTGCTTACAATGCACTACATGTCTTAGGGGTACAACTCAAGTTTTACAAATATCCTGACATACCAGAGTCACCACCCTGATTTAGATGCCCCCCCCGAGGCTCCCTCATATGCCCTTCTAATCATTACTTACCCTTCGAAAATGTAACTGCTATTCTGATCTCACCCTCATAGGTAATTATGCCTATTCTTCACTTTTATATAATGAAATTAATAGACTATGAGCTTTTTTATGTCTGGCTTCTTTGTTCAACATTAGGTCTGTGAGACTCATCCATTATTACTTATAGACATAGTTCATTCTTTTTTATTCCTGCTATCTATTTCATGATTTGAGTACACCACCATTTATTTATGTAATCTCATGTGGATGGACATTTGCGTTATTTTCAATTTTTGACAAGATTAAAACTTCTATGAATATTCTTATATGCGTGTTTTCATGAACATAAGCACTCATATCTGTGGATATGAAGCCAGCATTATTTGGCATTGTATATATGTATGTCCAACTTTAAAAGACACCGCTAACTGGTGGTTATATCAACTTACATTCGCAAAGTATTATATGGAAGTTCCAGTTGCTTTACATCTATCTTTGTCAAAACTTGATGGTCTTAGTTTTTTTTGAACTTTAGCCATTCTGGTAAGTATGCAGTGGTACCTCATTGTAATTTTAATTATATTTTGTTGATAAATAATGCAGTTGAACATTTTTTCATATATTCTCTTTTGTGAAGTGCATATTTCAGTTTTTTGCCCATTTTTGGAAATAGGGTGCTTGTTTTTTCCTTATTAATTGTGGTTTTATCATTATTAATTGGTAACAGTTTCTATATTCTAAATCTTAGTCCTTTTTTGTTTGTATTATATATATAAATGCATATTTATATATTATATTATTGTATTATAAATGTATATTACACATGTATTATCTATATTTTATGTATTACAAATACTTCCTGTATTATAAATACTTTCTTTCACTTTCACTCCTTAATGGTATCTTTTTTTTTTTTTGACAATTTAGATTGTGATTTTTAATAGGCAAAACTGGCAAACCAGAGTCAGCATTGTACTGTGGTATCTTTTGATGACTCAATAATATTAATTTAATGAAATCCAATTAATCTTTATGTTATGATTATTGCATTTGTGTTCTCATTTTTTACCCAAGATCATGAAGATTTTCTCTATGAGGCTCCATTATTTTATATGTTGCATTTAGGTCTACAAGCAGCTCAAATTAATTTAAATGTATGGTATGATATAGGGGTCAAGGTTTATTTTTAAAATATGGACCCAACTGATCTAGCATCATTTATTATAAAGATAATTCTTTCCATATTGAACTACAGTGGTGCTTTTGTTATAAATGAAGTGATTATGAAAAACGGGTTTGTTCCTGGACTCTGTTTTGTTCCATTGATCAAGCTAATTATTATTATACTGATAGCACACTGTCTTAATTACTATAGCTTTATAAAAAGTCTTGAATCCCCACAGACTAAAGCATAAAGTAGAAACTTCTCTGTATGATATAAGGTTCTCTTTCAGAGTTCAAGCTTTTATAAATAACTAGTGTTTGATGCTTGCAGTAGGAGGCATTCAATAAATGTGCTGATATGAATTAGACTGGAATGTGACTTCTTATGAGTATAGAGCAACAAAAAACAAAGTGAAACATGAATACTGCCACCTCATATCCTTTCTTTTTTTTTTTTTTTTAAGATTTTATTTATTTATTTGAGAGAGAGAGAATGAGAGATAGAGAGCACGAGAGGGAAGAGGGTCAGAGGGAGAAGCAGACTCCCTGCCGAGCAGGGAGCCCGATGTGGGACTCGATCCCGGGACTCCAGGATCCTGACCTGAGCCGAAGGCAGTCGCTTAACCAACTGAGCCACCCAGGCGCCCCCTCATATCCTTTCTATGAAACTGGAAGATATAGGTCTTTATCATAAAGAGTCAATGACAACTTTTATAAAAGTTGCATGGAATGGGGTAAGGCAAGGAACATGGTGAAGATGATATCAGTGCTTCTTGAAATTCCCTTAAACAGGTTATCTTGTTCCTATTGTCAAAGCATGTTAAACATTAGCATGAGGAAGGAGTAAAAGAGAGTGACAATAAAGGAGAATTTTTTTTCTAAAGGAGACTTTTATCCCTTGCCTTACTCCTAGCATGGAAATTTTAGACTACATATGAGAGGTTCTCAGAGCATACTGATGTAGCATCCTCTATAAAGTTGGTTTTAGAGTTCAATTTTTAAGAGGCTATTATAGAAGAGAGGATGGTAGTCTATAAAGTTATCTAATCTATAGTTTTGCTAGCACTGCTTAAATTGCTTTGGCAGGAATATCAGTGTATTTCATGGTTGCAAAGAATTTTGTGTGTGTGTGGATAGTGAAAGCAATCATTTTCAAGTATGCTTGCCAAATTCTACAATACAAAAAAGACTGGTTAATGCTCTGCATTATGATTTAGTGCTATCTGATGAAAAGGCAAAAAAAAAAAAAAAGGCCTTAAAAATGTTTTACTGGGTCTCTCTAAATGCTTTTTATATTTTGACTTTCACAAGTACACATTTAACTCTAGTCTTCAAAATACCTTTAATTTGGCTTTTTTTTGAGCCTCGAGAGCAAGCTTTCTTAAATCTTCAGTCTCTTTCTGTAACTGTTCATTTTCTTGCTGAAGTTTCAGCCTTTGTTCACTGACAAATCCACAGTTCTCTCTCTCAGACTCTAATATGTTTTGAAGTTTCCGAATCACTTCTTGGCAACGTGATATCTCTTCTGAGGAACTGATTAAAAAAACAGAAGGAACCTTTAAACCTAATGATCTGTAATGAAAGTCAAGAAGTTATGTTTTATAGTATAGACTTTTGTATTCTTTGTTCCGACCCATTACTCTTCACTGTAGACTTAAATTATGTAGTTTCACAATGTTGTATAATCCCAGGCAAATAACAACCAATTTAGCAATCTCATCTAATAAACTGAACTGTTACCACTCACCTAGAAAATCTATGTGAAACTTTTTTTCAAATTTTGCTAAGAGTGAGAATCACTGTGTAACAAAGACTTCAAGGGGATAAACTGAAGCTAATGGTAAGGAAGGTGATGTAGGTAATGATCAAAATTCCTTTATTACTTCAATCAACTCCATAGGAAGACACATTAGCTGTCTATATTACTAAATTACAATAAGACCTATTTCACATTTTCCTGTTATATGACTTAAAAATTTTTTTAAAAATAAACTTCCACTTCTATAAACCTCTTGTTTTATCAGTTTAAATAGGTTATATTTCTTGAACTTTCTCAACAATGGATTACAGGGTGACAAAACCTTCAAATGTATATTGCTAATTTTTATTCCTATCTTTAAAAATTTCCATTTTTTTCAATCCTGCTAATCAAATACTGCGAACATTATCTGGTCAATACGTGTCAGAGGGAATATACAGGTCTTTTATTTCCATAATACTTTGGCTCTTTTTTCCTATTTCAACTTTGGCTGATAAAGTTCCTAATGAAATGATAGACCTAGGTAATGATCATCAAATGATGATAAAAACAGAAAGATGTTAACATCAGAAATAATCACATATTATGTGCCTACAAACTGAAGTCCAAAATGTTACCATTTATAAGGAATTCTTACAAAAAAATGTGAACTGGATCAGGTCAAGCCTCTTGATTTGATTACTAGTTTTTAGGAATTACATGGGACAGAGAAGCAAGGTAAATGGCATCACATTGATGCATGCAGGCAGAGGAAACTAGAATACAAACAACCTAGGTTTTCAACAAGTTGTAAGAAAAAATAGAGAACTGGGGGGATAACTAGAAATAAATATCCATCTATTCACCCCCCATCCATTCATCTGTTAATGGACACTTAGGTTGTTTCCATATCTTGGCTACTGTGAATAATACTGCAGTTAATGTAGAGTGTAGATATTTTTTTGAGACAGCGATTTTGTTTCCTTTGATATATACCCAGAAATGGATCATATTGCAGTTTTTAAACTTTTTTGAGGAAACTCAGTACAGTTTTTCATAGTGGCTGTACCAATTTACATTCCCACCAATGTACAAGGGTTTCCTTTTCTCCATATCCTCACCAACACTGGTTATCTTTTGTCCTTTTTTTTTTTTTGGATTTAACAGTTTATTATGATTTATGAATGTCATTTAAAAAACATCCGTCCATTAAGCCATGTAGAAATAAGTATGCAAAAAGCCTGCAAAACAAAACATGCTTTAAACATGGTTAAGTAGAGGGATTATCTGAAATTGTGGATTTTCCAATCACTTCATTGTGCTAATGGCAGCCTAGTAATCCTTAACTTCTGTTGAAGTAAGCCTCCTAAATCTGGCTTTACTGCAGGTTCCAACTTCTATGGTATCTTCTGTCATCTGCCCTTCAAAGCTTTCCTTTAGGGTTAATATGGCCATATGAATGCATCTTCAAATTCCAGGTCTTTGTTATTTTTCTTGAGGAAAGTCTTCTCATTCACATAGTTCTTTCCCATTGCTGAGGCTTTCCAGGCAAAGTGAGCTCCAGATGGATCTGACTGAAATAAATACAGTTGCCCCTCATTCCAACCACAAATTAGTAAAGAAACTCCAAATGCATGAACACCACCTGATTGAGTATATTCTTGCATCACTATACCAGCTGAGCTGCTAGAATGGGTTCTTGGTAAATGAGATAGTATCACTGAGCTAGTTTTTGAGCTCTGTACACAAGCACTCTGTAATCTGGGCCCATGCCACTATACACCAAGCCTGATTGACTCCACTTTGTGTAGACTTTGCTCATCATACAGAATGGACTTGTTTCTTCTCATTTGCTAATACCACACTATTTGCAGCTTTAATTCCCACTGGAGGGGCTTCTCCAGCTACAGCAGTGAAAGCATATTCAATCGGGATAAGTTTACATTTGCTGAATGCCGTCAGCCAAAAGCTGTACCTGTGCTCTGCCATCTTTATCTGGAGTCTATCTTCTTTTTGATAGCCATTCCAACAGGTGTGAGGGGATACCTCAATGTGATTTTGATTTGCATTTCCCCGATGATCAGTGATGAAGAGCACCTTTTGATATACCTGTTGGCCATTTGTATGTCTTCTGAGAAAAGTCTCTTCAGGTCCTTTTCCCATTTCTAAAGCAGTTATCTGTTTTGCTATTGAATTGTTCAACTTCCTTACATATTTTCGATATTAACTCCTTATCAGATACTGCTTGCAAATATTTTCTCCTATGCTGTAGGTGGTCTTTTCACTCTTGATTTTTCTCTTTGTTATGCAGGAACTTTTTAGTTTGATGTAATTCCACTTGTTTATTTTTGCTTTTGTTAATTGTACTTATAGGGTCAGATCCGAAAATCACTGCGAAGACCAATGACAAGAAGCTTTCCCCCTGTTTTCTTCTAGTAGTTTTACAGTTTCAGGATTTACATTTCAGTCTTGAATCCATTTTGAGTTGATTTTTGTATATGGTGTGAGATAAGGGTTCAATTTCATTCTTCTGCACATGGACATCCAGTTTTCCCAATACCACTTATTGAAAAGACTATCCTTTCCCCATTGTGTGTTCTTGGCACTCTTGTCAAAGATCAGCTGGCCATAAATGCATGTATTTATTTCCATTGATCTACATGTCTACTTTTTATGCCTGTACCATACTGCTTTGATTTTTTAAAATAATTTTTCTTTCATTTGTTTATTTATTTATTTAAGATTTTATTTATTTGTCAGAGAGAGAAAGAGCACAAGCAGGGGGAGCGGCAGGCAGGGGGAGAAGCAGGCTCCCTGCTGAGCAAGGAGCCTGATGCTGGACTCAATCCCAGGACACTGGGATCATGACCTGAGCTGAAGGCAGACGCTTAACTGACTGAGCCACCCAGGCATCCCCCATACTGTTTTGATTACTGAAGACTTGTGATATTTTTTGAAATCAGGAACTGTGATGCATTCAGCTTGTTCTTCTTAAGATTGCTTTGTCTACTCAAAGTCTTCTGAGATTCATTATGAATTTAAGAATTTATGTATTTGACAGAAAGAGAGAGAGCACAAGCAAGGGGAGTGGAAGAAGGAGAGGGAGAAGCAGGCTCTCTGCTGAGCAGGGAACCAGACACAGGGCTTCTCGATCCCACGATTCCAGGATCATGACCCCAGCCAAAGGCGATGCTTAACTGACTGAGCCACCCAGGCGCCCCCATTATGAATTTTAGGATTGTTTTTTCTATTTTTGTGAAAAATGCCATTGGAAATTTGATAGGAATTTTATCAAATCTGAAGACTGCTTTGGATAGTATGGACATTCTAACAATATTATTTCATCCAATTCATGAAGATGGTATCTTTACATTTATATGCGACTTTCTCAATTTCTTTCACCAATGATTTTTAGTTTTCAGTGTAAAGTTTTTTCACTTCCCTGGTTAAATTTAGTCTAAGTATTTTATTCATTTTGAAGCTCTTATGAATGGGATTGTTCATTTCTTTTTCAAATAGTTTATTGTTAGTGTATAGAAATGCAACTGATTTTGGTATGTTGATTTTGCATCCTACAATTTTACTGAATTTATATATTAGATCTAATGACTTTTTTGGTGGCATCTTCAGGGTTTTTTCAATATATAGGATCATGTTGTGTGTAAACAGAGTCAATTTTACTTCTAATTTGGATGATTTTCTTTTTTTTTTTCTCTTGTAACTGCTCTGACTAGCACTTCCATTACTATGTTGAATAGAAGTGGCAAGAGTGGGCACCACGGTCTTGTTCCTGATCTTAAAGGAAAAGATTTTAGCTTTTTTTCACCATTCAGTACGATGTTAGTTGTGGGCTTGTCATATATGGCCTTTAGTAGGTTGAGGTACATTTCTTCTCTAATTTGTTATTTTTTTAATCATGAATAGATGTTATATTTTGTGAAATGCTTTTTCTGTATCTATTGAAATGATCATGAGTTTTATCCTTCATTCTTTAATGTGGTATAGCCCATTTACTAATCTGCATACCATCCTTGCCTCCCAGGTATTAATTCTACTTGACAATTATGTATGATTCTTTTAATATGCTATTGAATTTGGTTTGCTAGTATGTTTTTTGGAGTATTTTTGCATCTGTGTTCATCATGGATATTAAGCCTGGTATTCTATTTTCTTTTTCTTTTTTTATTTTATTTTATTATGTGATGTTAATCACCATACATTATATCATTAGTTTTTGATGTAGTGTTCTATGATTCAATGTTTGCGTATAACACCCAGTGCTCCATTCATTATATGCCCTCTTTAATACCCATCACCAGGCTAACCCATCCCCCCACCCAAGCCTGGTATTCTCTTTTCTGATAGTGTCTTTGTCTTGTTTTGGTATCAGAGTAATGCTGGCCTCATAAAATGAGTTTGGAAATGTTCTCTCTTCAATTTTGTGGAAGAGTTTGAGAAGGACTGGAATTTGTCTCCTTTAAATGTTTAGTAGAATTCACCAGTGAAGCCATCTGGTTCTAGACTTTTCCAAAACCCAAGGAGGTTTTTGATTACTGATTCAATCTCCTTACTAGTTTTCAGATTCAGTCTTGGAAGGTCATATGTTTCTAGGAATTTATCCATTTCTTCAAATTTATCTAATCTGTTGGCATATAATTGTTCACAGTAGTCTCTTATGGTCCCTTGTATTCACGTGGTATCAGCTATAATGTCTCCCCTCTTTTATTTCTGATTTTGAGTCTTTTTTTCTTAGTCTAGCTAAAAGACTGTCAATTTTATCTTTTCAGGGGTGCCCGGGTGGCTCAGTCATTAGGCGTCGGCCTGCGGCTTGGGTCATGGTCCCAGGATCCTGGGATCAAGCCCCACATCAGGCTCCCTGCTTGGCGGGAAGCCTGCTTCTCTCTCTCCCACTCCCCCTGCTTGTGTTCCCTCTCTTGCTGCGTCTCTGTCAAACAAATAAAATCTTTAAAAACAATTTTTTTTATCTTTTCAAAAAACCAAGTCTCAGTTTTATTGATCTTTTCTATTGTTTTGTAAAAATTCTCTATTTCTATTCTTATCTCTGTTACTTCCTTCCTTTTGGGCTTAATATTTTTCTTCTTTTTCTAGTTCTTGAGGTGTATGGTTAGGTTGTTTATTTGAGACATTTCTTAATGTATATTTATTGTTAAAACTTTGCTATAAATATCCCTCTGAGAAGTGATTTTGCTGCATCCCCTAAGTTTTGGTATATTATGCTTCCATTTTCATTTGTGTCAGGATATTTTTGATTTCCCTTTTGATCCACTGATTTCTCAAGAGTGTGTTAATTTTCCAATTTTCCTCCTGTTACTGATTTGTAGTTTCATACCATTGCACTTGGAAAAGATACTTGATATAATTTTAATCTTCTTAAATTTGCTAAGACTTGTGGCCTATCATCTTATCTATCCTGGAGAATTCAACACTTGAGAAGAATGTGTCTTCTGGTGTGTTGGACAGAATGTTAGGCCAATTTGGTCTTTAGCATTGTTCAAAGGTACTGTTTTCTTACTGATTTTCTGTTCTGGATGATCTATCTATTGTTCAAAGTGAGCTATCAGTTTCCTACTTTTACTGTATTGCTCTCTATTTTTCCCTTCAGCTCTGTTAATATTTGCTTTATATATTTAGGTGCTCTGAGGCTGAGTGCATATAGTTTTATGATTGCTATTTTCTCTTGTGAATTAACTCCTTTTTATCATTATATAATGATCATTTTTGTCTCATGATATTTTTTGACCTAAGTCTATTTGTCTGATATAAGATACCCCTGTTGTCTTTGGGTACCATTTGCATGGAATATCTTTTGCCATCTCTTCACTTTTGGCCTATGTGCTTCCTCAAATGTAAAGTGACTTTCTAGTAAGCACCATATGGCTGGATCTTATTTTCTAATCCATTTAGTCTATGTCTTTTGATTAGATAATTTAATCCACTTAAATTAAAAGTAATTATTAACAGGTAGTAACTATTGTGATTTTGTTAACTGTTTTCTGTTTTGCAGTTCCTTTGTTTCTATATTCCTATTTTAGCTGACTTTTTTGTGATTTGTTGAATTTTTATAGTGGTTGCTTTCATTCCTTTATCTTTTGTCTACTACACGTTTTTTTCTGATTAGCATGAGGCTTACATAAAACATCTTATAGTTTGAAATTTGTAACAAATTTAACTTCAATCACATAAAAATCTCCACACTTTTATTTCTCTGCTCCCTCACATTTTTGTTACTGATGTCATACATGTTTTTATATTATATATCAATTAACACATTGTACCTCTATTATTATTATTTTTTAAAGATTTTATTTATTTATTTGACAGAGAGAGACACAGCGAGAGGGAACACAAGCAGGGGTGGTGGGAGAGGGAGAAGCAGGCTTCCCGCTGAGCAGGGAGCCCGATGCGGGGCTTGATCCCAGGACACCAGGATCATGACCTGAGCCGAAGGCAGACACCCAACGACTGAGCCACCCAGGCGCCCCTGTACCTCTATTATTTTTAATACTCTTATCTTTTAACTTCTATATTAGTGTTAAAAGTGATTTATGTACTATTACATGCAGAGTATTCTGAGTTTGACCATATACTTACTTTTACCAGTGAGTTTTATACTTTCATATATTTTGATGTTGCTAATTAGTATCCTTTCATTTCCACTTGAAAAACTCTTTAGCATTTCTTATACAGCAACTCTAATGGTGATGTAACCCCTTTTGAGATTTTGCTTGTCTTAGAAAATTTTTAATCTCTCCTTCATTTCTGATGGACAACTTTGCTGGGTATAGTATTCCTGGTTTGCGGTTTTTTTCTTTCAGTACTTTGAATATATCATACCACTCTCTCTCTGCTGCAAGGTTTCTTCTAAGAAATCCACTGAGAGTTTTATAGTGTTTGGGGGGAGTCCCTTGTATATGATGAATCATTTCCTGTTTTCAAAATACTTTTTTATTTTTGGCAATTTGATTATAATGTGTCTAAGTGAAGACCTCTTGATGTTGAGCCAATTTGTGATTCTTTGGGTGTCATGGATCTGGATGTTCAACTCCCTCCCCAGATTTGGGAAGTTTTCTATTATTATTTCTTTATAAACTTTCTGTTCCTTTCTCATTCTGTGCTCCTTCTGGGATTTTCATAATGTGTATGTTGGTTTACTTTAAGATGTTCCATAACTCATGTAGGTTTTCTTCACTCTTTCATTCTTTCTTCTCTTTGTTCCTCTAACTGGATGATTTCAAATAACCTATCTTCAAGTTTGCTGATTTTCTTCTGCATGATCAAGTCTGCTGCTGAAACTCTATAGAATTTTTCAGTTCAGTTCTTCAGCTCCAGGATTTCTGTTTCTTTTTAATGGTTTCTATCTCTTTGTTAAACTTCTCATTTTGTTCATGTATCATTTTTCTGATTTCATTTAGTTGAATGTGTTCTCTCATAGTCAACTGAGTTTCTTTAAGACAACATTTAAAATTTTTGTCAAGCAGTTCATGGGTCTCCGTTCCTTTTGGGTCAGTTAGTAGAGCTTTATTAGCTCTCTTTGGTGTTGACATGTTTGCCTTATTCTTTCTTGGTATCTGTGTATTTGAAAAAGCAGATTCCTCTTCCAGTCTTTACAGACTGATTTTGGCAGGTAGACTTTCTCCCGCCAAGTCCTATAACTGATAGGGCTGCTTCTGGGATTGTGGTTGAGTAAGGCTGAAACCATGTCATGTGGCTATTGCCAGGTTCATGGTTGGCAAGCACGTCATCGGGGCACAAGCAGGTGTTGTGTCCCATGGGTTCTTAAGGGCGCTCCTGTCATATCACTGGGCTGGTTCATGGGTGGGTAGGACTGCTTTTGGACTGTGGTAGAGTGAGACTAAAGTTGGGTCACAAGACTGCCTCAGAGATTGTACTCAGGTCTGAGGTCAGTGGGTATTTAACTGGAAGCATCTGCAAGTGTGGCTTCTGCTGGGTCTTTTGGGTGGATTTCTGCCCATGAAAGACTACCTTAAATTGTGGTAGAGCACTGCGGGATCCATGTCTTGTAGTTTTTGCTAAGTCTGCAGTCAGGTGTGACTTCTGCTGGGCAACAGTTAGTACTCCCATAAGTTTACTGGGCTGGTTTCTGGGAGAGCAGGATCGCCTCCACACCATAAGAGAGTGGAACTAGAGCTGGGATGCAGGAACAACAGTCAGCTCTGAGGTTGGCAGAGTGTTATCAGAAGTACCCACAGGGATGGCTTTTGCTGAGTCCCTTGGGGGAGGGGGCCAGGTGTAGGACTGCGGACAAGTAGGCTTAGAGCCAAGACCATAGGGAGATGGGACCATAGGGTGCACTGCCACTGGTGCATAAGCTTCCCTCCCTGTTTTTGGGCTCCAGCAGTGTTTTGTAACCTCCTACCTGGATCCCAAAGCTCTCACAAAAGCATTTTTGTCCAGGGATGCCTTTCATATATTTTTCTGTGGAGGGACATGGGCTGGGTACCTCCAATTCATTCCACTGTGTTGCTGACATTATTCCTCTTTATTTTTAAAATATTAAACATATTCTGTAACAGACTGAGACTTCATGCAATTCAAATTAAGTTTTACTGTATTAAATAACACTCTGGGGGAGAAAGGTAGAAAAATATTCAGAAGGCATATGCCAGACTATAAATTTACCATTTTAGTAGACAATGTAATAAATAAACATGATGGATTATAAACTGAGTATAAAAGCAATAATTATAAGGAAGCTACTGTAAAAGCTGCATAGTTAGTATGAAAAAAACTCAGTCTTATCAGCATTCTATTTAACTGCCAAAAAGGAGAAATTTAAAATAAAACGGTATAATACTGTTAAATCTTTTCTTCCTGAGGAAATTAGTTTTCAGAAATAAGCTTAAAGGGGTGACCGGGTGGCTCAGTTCATTAAGCGTCTGCCTTCAGCGCAGATCATGATCCCAGGGTCCTGGGATCTAACCCCACGTTAGTCTCCTTGCTCAGCGGGGGGCCTGCTTATCCCTCTCCCTCTGCCTGCTGCTCCCCCTGCTTATGCTCTCTCTGTAAAATAAATAAATAAAATCTTAAAAAAAAAAAAAGAAAGATGCTTAAAAAATTCTATTTGGTGCTAAAGTTTTTTTTCATCATATATGTAAGTCCTATTTAAAAAAAGTAAAGAATCTGTCAGAAAGTGTATGAATTCTGAAAATGTTAACAGAAAATTGAAAAGAATAACTTACTTTATTTCAAGTTGTTTTATTTTATTTTCTGCTGTCTTAAGTCTTAGTTGAAGATCATCTTTTGAACGCTCTGCAACCAGGCATCTTTGGTGCATTTCTTCTAGTTTTCTGTAATCACTTTCATTTACTCTACCTTCATGGTAAATCTGCAAAAGAAGATTATATGTATATTACCTTACAGAAGAAAACTGTCTTAAGAAATTATACAGTTTATCAATGATAAATAAAAACCCATAATCATGTGTTCATCTGTTCCCATTGTTATACAGTAAGACATATCAGTAACTTTGGTTATTTCATATTTAAAAAATGTTGAAACTGACACATAAAAATTATTTATTTTTTGAAAGTATTCATGCTCACTGCAAACTAGTTTTAATATGTTATTTTAAAAATTATTTATTTTATCCTTTCTTTTATTAATGTGATGTGTCATGTTGATTGATTTGCAAATATTGAACCACCCTAACAACCCAGGAATAAATCTCACTTGATCATGGTGAATGATTTTTTTAATGTATTGCTGGATTCAGTTTGCTAGTATTTTTATTGAGAATTTTTACATCCATGTTCATCAGGAATAATGGCCTGCAATTCTATTTAGTAGTGTCTTTATCTGGTCAGGGTGATGCTGGCCTTATAGAATGAATTTGGAAGGTTTCCTTCCTTTTCTGTTTTTTTGAATAGTTTGAGAAGAATAGGTATTAACTCTTTAACTGTTTGGTAGAATATGTTTGTGAAGCCATTTGGTCCTGGGGATAGTTTTAATATTTTAAAAAGAAATGTAAAATAGCTGAAAGAAAAGAAATATTCTAAATGTCACCAATTAGAGATAACTGTTTTGATTAAATTGTTTTGAACACCCTTCAAGACAATTCTATATTCAGGCACACCTGGTGGCTCAGTTGGTTAAGTGTCTGCCTTTGGCTCAGGTAATGATCTCGGGATCCTGGGATTGAGCCCTGCTTTGGGCTCTCTGCTCAGAGGCGAGTATGCTCATGCATGTTTCCTCTTTCAAATAAATAAATAAAATCTTAAAAAAAAAAAGACAATTCTGTATTCTGATATTAAAGAATACAGATATATGCTATGGTGTAATAAACAGAACTATCTGAAAGTGATTCTATAATCTTACTCTGGATTAACTAGACCATAATCTAACTGAAATGGGGGTGCCTCTTTTCCCAACAGGAGTGGGTGTATCCAAGCTCAGCTTCTTATAAGACAGGCTTCCTACCACAACACAGGGGCTGTAACATCCTGAGAACCATAAAGTCTCTGGGTGCTAAGCAGCTCACATTTCAGACAAATTCTACCCATAGCTACCCTCTAAATCCAGACTGCCTGGCCATGCAACCCGTAACTTCTCCCACTGAAAAGACTGCTTGGTCACTCCTGCTATATAAAAAGGTAGAATACCAGCAAGTTAATGTCCCACTACTAAAATACAGACATGTGTGTATATATATAGATATATCTATGTCTATATATATATATATATATCAGTACTTTGACTTTAGCACACTTGTCTGGGACAGTGGGATAGAATTAGGGACCTGTGCCTTTTCTTTACCTGTTGTCTTCAGTCTTGTTTTACATTTTCTCAATTAAGCCTATTCCTTAATCTATGCCATGTGATTTAAAAAATTTATCACAGCCATGATGTACAGTAGGTAACAATCTAAATGGGATCTATCTACTACTATTCCATAATAGTAACTCAGAAGGAATCAACCTCACAGGAGACTGGTGACCATAAATGTCCTACCTGGAACATGACATATATACTTTTGCTATATGCTGCTTTTGTAAGTGACTCTTTTACTATCTGATGTCATGATCTTTTTATGTCACTAATATAGATATGTCACATGCTTTTTATACTATGTAGTTCTTCTTTGAACATCAAATTCTGGCTCTACCATTTACTACTTGTTAGCATGGGTAAGTTACTTAACCTCTATGAGTTCCTAATGCAGCACTTAAAACACAGTATATGCTGCATCAAGTTTCATTTCCCTTTTTTCCCAAGGCATTTTAAAAGAGTGGGATATTTACTGATGATAAAAAAATTATTTAAATAAGAAATAAAATTTTAAACTATAGACTTTTCACATTATTTTTTCTCAAATATCACTGCGGTAATATTTTCCTACTTAAGAAATAAAAATCTATACATTTAAAAGGTTAAAATCACAGTAATATTATAATTTTCTGGTTATATATACTTGTTTTTATAGATGGCTTACACCCAATAAAGGTTGGCATTAAATTTAAAAACAGAAGGGAGACCAAGTAAAATTTACCACTGGGATGAAGTTTAAACAAGGAATATAGCTACTTCATAAAATTTATACCTTTAAGTAAAAAGTACATATACTGTGGTCACTCTTACAAAGAAATGTATTCAGGCAATACTAGTATTTAAGTGTTGACTGTGAATATATTCCAAATAAAAACACTCACTTACACTGTAGGGGTTGCTAGTAGACAGTGTGATGAAAGTGGAGAGTAATAGTGAGCATTTGCAGTTGAGTTTTAGGTAGGTTTTTTTTTTTTTTTACCTTTTCTAGTTCTCCTTCCACTGCTTTTTTCTCCCTAATGGCTCGTTCAATTTGGCCTTGTTTTTCAGCACACTCCTATAAATTCAATTCATATTGGAAATAAATATATTTGTAAAATCTTAAGAAAAAATGGATACATAAAATAATTTGTTCATAACAAGAATACCACACTTACCCTATCAATACAGCAGGACCATATTGATTATTAAGCAAAAACAAAAACAAAAAACTTCCATCTTCAAAGAGCTACCTATCTCAGGAGTTCTAAGTAAACATTCTAAATTAGTGACAGAGGTTGAGGGATTCTAGAGAGAAAAAAATGAGACCCTTTCCTCATATTAGTTTTATTCATATACTCTTATGACGTATTTTAAAAAGGAATACAGAACAGGACAGCGACACAACACCCTGCGGATAACCTGTGGCCTAAAAGGCACACAGGTATATAAATAAATTCTAAAACTTTTTTTTTTTTTTTTTGCAAAACTTATAAAGAGCCAAGGGGTGCCTGGGTGGCTCAGTTGGTAAGCATCTGACTCTTGATTTCGGCTCAGGTCATGATCTCAGGGTTGTGAGATCAAATGCCGCACTGGGCTCTGTGCTCAGTGGGGAGTCTGCTCAAGATTCTCCTTCTCCCTCTCCCTCTGCCCTTCTCCTCCCCTGCCCTCTGTTCACATGTTCTCTCAAAAAAAAAAGAAAAAAGAGCCAATGAACACAGTAAAAATTTTATTAGCATGATTATAAAACATTTCTGCTCCAAAGGCTTTAATCAGTAAAACTGAGCAAGCATATCAATCAGTTGATAAAATTTAGTATTTTGCAAATGAGAGTAAAACTGAAAACAACCATTTATAATGACTGGTTCCTCATAGCTATTTGTTTTTATCTATTTTCGATAATGGCTGTGATTATTTTCTATTAATTGTATATTATGCTTTGGATGAACCTCCTTACTGGCAGTACACTACTGATATTCAATTATCTTTAGCATAACTCTATTTTACAGAAGTACTGTATATCAATGTTTTTAAATTTTATTTTTTTGTTTTATTTTCTTTAAAAAATATTTTATTTATTTATTTGACAGAGAAAGAGAGAGAGCAAGAGAGGGGACATAAGCAGGGGGAGTGGGAGAGGGAGAAGCAGGCTTCCTGCCAAGCAGGGAGCCCAATGTGGGGCTCGATCCCAGGACCCTGGGATCATGACCTGAG